AAACAAGAGGGCGTGAGAATAGTCACGTGATCTCGATGACGCAACAATAACGCTAAAAACCAGTTTTCAGTACCCGAGATGGGCACAGCCCAGATAGCCCATTGTGTAATTTTGTGCTTACCAATAAACAAACTGATATGGAGGTTCCATCAGATGGTTTTTAGGCATCACACTAGTCGCTGACAACTACCTCAATAATTGCCTTATTGTATTTCTTTGACCAGTGGCGCTAACATACATCGGGTGCGAAAGTAGAAGGGATCTAGGTGTCTTACGGCATTATTTAACTCTAGTTAGCGGCAGGGCCGGCTTTTAGGTAAGGCAGGCGAGGCAGCTGCCTTGGGTCTCGCGTCTTGCTTATATAATTTTATTTGAACAAAGATAAACTGAAGAGTAAGTGCGAGAATGTAGAGAAGGTTTTGACTGATAGAAATAGGGATAGTAAAGATATAGATGGAGAAAGATTGTATGAAGAATTAATAAGTCTGAGGGTGACTATGCCTGAGATAGTTCGCAGATCATCATCACCCTCTGAAGTCCTCAAGTTTATTATTGAACATGAATATGTGGACATTTATCTTAATACTATCATTGCCTTTCGAATTCTTCTAACAATACCTGTGTCAGTAGCATCTTCAGAACGTAGTTTCTCCAAGCTGAAACTAATAAAATCTTATCTACGAAGTACAACGAGCGAAGAACGTTTGGTATAATTAACGATCCTTTCAATAGAAAAAGATTTAGTTTTAAAATGTGATTTTTATTCACTTTCGAACGACTTTACAGGAACAAAGTCGCGAAAAAATTAACTTATATAACTCGTTTTCTCTCATCCATTAATGTTCTTCTTTTACTTCCTTTAATTTGTTACTATAAGTTTTTCCTACAGATTTTCATTTGTTACAAAGAGTTAATTTATGTTTATTTGTTAGTAAAGAGTTCAATTATGTTAATTTGTTACCAAAGAGGTAATTTATGATTATGTCCATATGTTAGTTAATTTATTATGTTCAACTGAAATAAAGATTATCTATAACTTCTGTTGTAGCCGGACCTTGCCTTGGGCCTCGCACTTGCTAAAGCCGGCCCTGGTTAGCGGTGGGAAGTTCGAATAAAATATTGTTACGTCTCCGTTTGTTAATTGATTTTCAGTAACTTCGTTCCGACGAAACTTAAGCGACACAAGTCCTTTCTTAATAAAACTGATTTATTCTTTCCGAATATAACTTTACCGATACACTTATTTCAATATTCGCGCTAAACAAACGACTATAACGAACGAACGTTAACTTCAACAATACCCTCG